CCCCCCCTCCCCTCCCCTTCTATCCCTTACCACAAATGTCAAGCCGCACAGCCCTCATTCCACACACGCACGTACACACACTTCACGCCACCGAGGCAAGGTGAGAGGCTAAAAATCATCGCTATCCTCATCCACATCGAGCGCGTCATCTTCAGCGTCATCGTCATCGCCGTCGTCATCAAAGGAAGAATATGATTCATCCGACGCCCCATGCACCGCTGCCATGACAGGAGCTGCTTGAGTGGGAACCGTTGGCTTCGCTAGCGGAGCTTGCTTCTGTGCAAGCGGCTGTGAGCTTGCAGCCGGCTTTCTTGCTTCATCGGAGGCAGACACTTTCTCCTCCCGCTCTATATCGCTAAAATCTGGGGATGACTCTGTCCACTTCTGAGCAGCTGTTTTTATGTCGTAACTCTTGTTCCGTCCAGATTCTGAACTGGAGGCAGGGGCTATTCGCCCCTCAAGAAGATCCTCAATTTCCGGTGGGCACTCAGGTTTGCCCTTTTCCTTGCAACGATCGGTCATGTGAAGTCCATGATTCGGGTAGAGAACAGTAAAGTGGGGTCTTGGCAGTTTGGTGTCATCTTCGGTGAAGTCGTACACATGCACGAACCGATTCAATTTGGGATCTAAATGAGCTGACTTGAAGCAGCTCTTCAGCTCCGGTAAGCGCAAGTTAAAGGGTTTGAATGTCATATGATGGCTTGACTCTATAACTGGATCTGTTGATGCAAACAGATGAAACACAATGTGCTCACAGTCACGTGCTCGTAACTGCTTACAGCCCACATACACAGTCATGCTCTTGCAATTGCGCAGAAACACGCTACCTTCACAAGCAGCAATAACAAGTTCACCGCCCTCACAATCATCCACGGTAATACTGTCCAGTGGATCCAAGATGTATGTGGTACAATCAGTGAGATACTCCAATTGAACTTGCTGGCCGCTCACCTGGCCTCCGCAGCGATAAAAAGTTTGACCTGCCCACTTCGATATAAAGTATGTAGTGTCCTCACCACTCTCTACTTTCCTTGTTGCCACAGCAACCTTTGAGGAGGGTGGGGGAGGAGTTGTAGAAGCCACAGTAGTGCCTTTAAACTTTCGTTGAGTCTCACTATCCTCAGTGCCTACCGCCTTAATAAGTGTAGTCAGAATCGGGCTCGTCGTATCGGACAAGTTGAGTGCACGCAAGACCACTTCTTTTTCATCCAATGTGTTTTCATTCAAATTTGCCTCTTGTTTGAGTACGCTCAAAGTGTAAGTCAAACCGAGATACTCCAGGTAATCCATCACAATGGTCAGAGCTTGTTTGCCTTCGTTGTCTTCTCTTGCTGCTTTTAATGTGGGGGCTGGAGCAAACAGCTTCGCCGTCGTCGTAGAATCCTTTGAAATAGACCTGAGAGCGGCATCGACGACCATAGCCCGCATCTTTCCTAATTCTCCAGAGCTCTCCAACCGCTCCCGAATGAGCTTCTCCGTCACTGCTTCAGTCATATTTTTGTGTCCTTGTTTTGTTTTGTTTTTTCACCTCCCTGTATTCTACTGCTATGAATTCAATACCTCCCAGATACATGGATTTGAAGTCGATTAATGGGGGGTACAGCAAAACAACAAAAAAAACATAATAGCAAGAATAATAATAATAATAATTTGAAGAATGAACGCTTAAAACATTAAACCCATACACACAACAACAATTTAAGATAGACGATGATAATAAAGCAATTCTAATTATATATAGTTACTATATTTTCGCTGCGTCTCATCCGACGTTTCTTTGCTATCTGCAGTGTCACTAGTTTTTTAATTCTCTTGTAGTTGAGGTTGCTTTACTGGAAACAGTTTTGACAAAAAACCATACAGACGATGATTGAGCTTTTCCGGTTCCTGATCAAATTGAAATGCAAGAAACCCAACGGAAGCCACATAAAGCATAAAAACCCCGATATGTCTGGGATACGGAATCCATCCCAAGCGATACTGTGTCATGACAAAGGATCGAAGAGCATACATGAAGCAGTACAAAGACAAATCCATTCTCCTTCCTTTGGGTTCAAGCAAAGCCGCGACACCTGCAATTGAACAAAAAATAGCAAAGAAAAAACCCCCACGAATATTACCTTGAGCGAAAAAACACGCAAATCGCACAGAACTTGCTGAGTAAAGGGCCAAAAACAGTGCACTTGAAAGTACTGAACGAATTGAGTTTTGTAATAGTTTAAAAGGTTTTTCCTTCAATTTTTTACGCTGATATAAAAGAATTTTACCAATCGTTAGAGGAGTATAAAGCGGAAGGCCCACCTGAATAATGTTTCTTCGAATAAAAGAGAGAAAAAACCTATTGCATGTCATTCCTGGATGAGTAAGCATGCAACCTATTCTAAAATGTTCTCTTCCACTTTGAGGAATTTTAATACCCCTTTCCATACACAACTCCACCAATTCTGGAGTTAACTGATACCTTGCAAGTCCTGCATGACCTCGAACCACACGGTTGTCTAACATGGAGGCTTTTGACAAAAACTTTTGATACGAGGGAGGCAGCGAGGAGGGGGCAAAAACAACACTATAAAGAATTTGAGATGCACTTAAGCACATAACAACAATATCATAGTATTGAAATTCTTGCAACGACCTTGGTAGGAGGGGTAGCACATGTCCCACTGCAAAGCTATGTAAAGCACGTACTAGAACATAGAGACACAAATCGGTTCTGGTCTCTTTTTCCATCACAAGTACAGGTAGCGCACAAATGGAACCTGCAAGCGCAGAGGCAGCTTTCTCTGACATATGGCAAAAACGACCAATTTTGCGAATAATTTGCTTCAAAAGGGGAAAGCAAGCAAGGCCAGCGAAAATAAACCCCCATTTGGGAGGATCAAGGGATAAGATCTCTTTTAGAATGGGCTTTAGCGCGTCCCGTCTTAATCCTCCCTTTCCAATACGCCTAAATACGCCTATTAAAATTCTTACTCCAGCAGCAAAAAAGGCGTTACGCAACGCAATGACCGCGGTGCGAACTAACAGACTTTTCGAAACAGAATGGTTACCCTTCACCAGGCTTCCCGGGTATCGAATTGCTGGAGCTGTCATTCGCGATGTGGTTGCCAATTACCGTTATTACTATTCTTACTGTTCAAGACAGGGACAAGGATGGAAAGCTAGAAAAAGACACAGGTACGCATGAAATGTGCATTTTCTGGAGGTAGTTAGCATCATCCAGCATGAGTTTGTGACCAATGATAATTCAATTTTAGAAAAGATGGGAAGGCCGTAATAATGCAGGCGAAGCAAAGGAAAACCAAAACAAATAAAAACTTGGAGTTACCATTGAGCAAAGAAAAAATGAAGAGGATCCGTCGAAAAGTTACCAGAAGAAGATGCTCTTTTCCACGTCAATCATTTCCTCCGAGACTTCTCGGACAACGATCATCTCACCGTCTTCCGGTATTCTTGATGTTGCAATTTCAATATTTACCATATCGGCTTTAATGAATCGATCCCTTCTTTCCTTTTCCCTCCTTCGTTTTTCCTCAAGTTCCCTTCTCCTTCGTTCGCTATTTTCGCGTTGGATTTTTATTTTCAATTCCTCCATTAGTTTGGCATTCTCCTCGGCTTTCTTCTTGGCTTGAATAATCGCCTCCTTCTCTTCCGAATCATCGACCTCCATGGAGACGGCAGCTATAGTTTTTCGCCGCGATTCACCAGAAACAAAATCAAATAATGCAGTTATATAGCCTGGTTGCAAACTCATGAGAGCAACATGAGATGATGTCAAACAAGATGCCTCCTCTGTGCATTCTGTTGTGAAGGCCTGAGGAAGTTGATTGTGTTCTGTCTTATTTACATAAAAATCAATGAGCTTAAAGACCTTTCGCTTTGAATTGCCCTCATCAAACCCACCCAACTCAAGTGAGGCAGAGTGGTTAGATAGCCCAGCCTGAATCATAATACCGTTTCCAGCAGCTACGGCTGTCGGCGGAAAGGATGTATTCAAGTACCTTATAGCACTCCATCGTGTTCCCTTGTAGAAGGAATAAACAATTCGGTGCTCACCTTTGGTATAGGCTGACACGGCAATTTGCTGTTGTCCAGTTCGAGAAAGAGCAGTTTTATCAGCAACGTCAAGAGGGATACTGCTGTGAGCCTTCCAAACATGACCATCAGGTGAGCTGAAGAGCACATGGTCAAGAGTATAATTTCCGCGTACCACAAGCGCATTCATAAGGTGGAGTTGATCCTCGGGAAAATACAAAGTGTTGCCCTTGAACTTAATATCCGTAATTTCCTCTCCAGGCCAATAGTGAAAAGACAAGATCGCGTCCTCCTTCGGAGCCTCCACCAGAGAATCCAACCATTCGTAAGCAATAACGGTAACATTGATCACACTCGAATTAACTTGTTTCAAGCTTGAAGGACAAAGAAGAGTGTTATTGACGACAACCCCTTGATTTCCACAAAATGGATACTGTGTTTGCTGAAGTGAAAAACTATTGGCTCCATCAAATGTGCAAACTGCTGCTAATTCATGTAAACATTCTGGACAGGATTCCTGATGTACACGGGCACAAGCAACACCCTCTTTTAACACCACAGCACCTGATGGCCGCCAAACGCCATGATCAGCATTTATGTGAGCCACTCGAGTAGGCACGATTTCAAATGCGTCCGACTGGCCGACAACAAGGACTCCAAGAAGAAGAGCAATAAGAGCAGAAAACATCCTTCCGTGTTTTATTGTTGACTATCTTTTTTGCTATGCAGGAGAGAAATGCATAAACCTATGAGACCACTGATTCAACATACGAGATTAAAAAAATATATATAGAAAATACCAAAGAGAGAGTGAAAAAAAAAAAGTGAAAGAAAAGGGATATCAATA